CCATTCATAATTATAGCAGTTTCTCTGAAACTGCTATAATTATGAAAAAATGGGTTAACCCTAGAAGGACCTGGCACCCAGACCACTTCATTAAGCTGAAGTGGTCTGGGTGCCTAGAGTGGTCCTTTAACCAAGATGTTTGATATGGTTCCACACAAACGATTAGTGTTCAAACTAAAATAAATTGGTCTAGATAAAAATGCTTGGTCTTGGGTAGAAGATTGGCTTAAAGGTAGAGTTGTCATTAATGGTACCTTTTCAAGCTGGATAAAAGTGGTAAGTGGTGTCACTCAGGGTTCTGTTCCGGGACCATTTCTAGTTAGCACATTTAATCTTTAAATAACCAGTGAAAGTCATGTTTCAGTGTTTGCAGATGACACAAAACTCTGAGCAGGATGTTGCTTTGTTGCAGAGGGATTTAGATAGATTGGGGGACTGGGCACTCAAATGGCAGATGTAGATAAATGCAAAGTTGTACACTTCGAGGTAAAGGATATGTAAGCTACTTAAACCCTAAACAGTATTGAATTATGGATAACAACACAAGAAAGAGTTGGGGATAGTTATAGATAAAGTAGGCAACAATGTACACGGTCAATCAGCAGTTTCTAAGGCCAGCAAGGTATTGTGATGCATAAAAAGGGGTATTCATTCTCTTGATGAAAATACAATGTTCCTTTTTTATAAATCAACGTTAATGCCATATCTTGAATATGCTGTGCAAGTTTGGACACATGTTCTAAAGAATGATATTATGCTCTAGGAAAAGTACAGAGGTGGGCTACACAATTGAAGATTATGCTAGCTTTAGTGTACTAATAATCTTAATTTTAATAATGACAGGAGGCGAGTATTTTGCATATTTCTCTTTATTAACTCCATACAGCAGCAAAGAAGCACATAGAAAAAAGAACCAATCACAAGAGAGTAAAATGTACATAAGGCATTGTGAACTCATCATTTCCTCTTTCAGAAAGCGACATCAAGCGGAAGTAAATATATAACAAGCAATAAAAATAATAACTCCCAAGTCCCACATTCGAAGGAGCAAAATTAAGATTATTAGTACACTAAAGCTAGCATAATCTTCAATTTTACAACATGAGGCTGAAACTCCCATCCCCCTTCAGCAGTGCACTGCACATCAAGTAGGGGCCTCACCCCGGGTGCACAGGGTATGAACCCTTAAGTGCTGGCCATCAGCCTGATAGAGAGCTTCCTTCAGCTCTTCCAATAATGAATGCATCTTCATTGGAGATGTTCCGTGAGGCCGGAAGTGCTGAAACTTGTGTCTAGCAGGGAACAAAGGCTGATGCAGCCTGTCCATTTTCAGCCGAATAGATTGACGTATACTTAGCTGTGGATCACCTCAGGTGCACGGGGTATGTACCCTTCAAGTGTGGGGCCTAGAGTGCACCAATCTGTGTTCAGACAGATGTACGAAAGGCCTGGTGATACCCCCTTAAGCCGGATTCGGAGTAGGGTGAAGTAGAAACTGCTCAGTCAGGGGTTAACCCCCGGTGTCCAGCAATAGGGTGTGAACGCTAGAGCATGTCCCCATGAAAGAGAGCACAATCCGTGCTCTAACAGGTAGTCTAAGGAAGTAGGGGGTGTCCCTTTAAACATTTAGTACTGACATAAAGTCCTGACATAGAGCGCTGAACACTGCCCCCTAGCTAGTCTGGGCTCAAGGGTGATAAATCCCTTTAAATCACCCATATCTGAGGTAATTCCACCTAACACGTACTCATACAGCACGACACGCGGGTGTAGCAAGATGGCCGTCAGCAATCTTGCGAGATGCGAGATCAAAGATGGCCGCCACGTCTCGTTCGGGCTAACTAATGGTCACCCCACAGACTGCACCTGCACAAAAGGTAACTGATTCTAGGAGAGCATCAAAGGCATTACCGGGTGCAAAATTATATGCAATCTGAAAAAGCTGCAGGGCAGCCAATCAAGAAGCGTTTGACTCGTGTGCCCTTAGAAGCCATGCCTACTAATGGCATGGCTGTGATTGGCCAGTGCAGCATGTGACCCAGCCTCTATATAAGCTGGAGTCACATGAGCTCTTATTAGTGTAGGGAGAGGATGCTGCAGCTGTGAGGGACAGATTAGGAAAGAATTCTGGTGTTGAATCTGTAAACTACAGCGATTATTTTTGTGGGTGCTATACTACATTTTTGTACCCTGCCTGAGCCCAGTGCCACAGAGAAATAAGCAATCGGTCTGTTTGTTAGGTGGGCACTTGCAACTGCATGTGTGCCAGGCACATTACTTTAATCCTGTTCTGGTAGCTCAGTGGGCAACATATAGGCATTTTTAAATACTGCCATGACATTGCAGTTTGACAAATTCACATTTTTTTGGTGCTAAAAAGTACATTTGTGGCATGCACTTCATATCTGAGAGTCAAATAGAACCGTCAAATACTGTGGTTACGTTGCACTTTGAAAAATTCTAATTTTTTGGGTGCTAAATAGTACATTTGCAGCCTGCGGTGCACTTCATATCTGAGAGTCAAATAGAACCGTCAAATACTGTGGTTACATTGAACTTTTAAACATTAAAAAATTTTGAGTGCTAAATAGTACATTTGCAGCCTGCGGTGCATTTCATATCTGACAGTCAAATAGAACCGTCAAATACTGTGGTTACATTGCACTTTGAAAAATTCAAATTTTTTGGGTGCTAAATAGTACATTTGCGGCCTGCGGTGCAGTTCATATCTGAGAGTCAAATAAAACTGTCAAATACTGTGGTTAAACCATCTGTTAGTTTGGTGGGTGAATGCAAAGAATTAGGAGAGCGTCAAATAAGGGATGTGGCCCTGGTCGTGGTGCTGCTGGTGTTGGTGGAGCTCCTGTTGCAGGGAGAGGAGGTGGCCGATCTGTGCCAGCTACTCGCAGAAGTGAAACACCTTCCTCAGATGCGAGTAGGCAACAGAACCTTCAGCGTTATTTGGTAGGCCCGAATGCCGCTCTACGAATGGTGAGGCAAGAACAAGTACAGGCGATAGTAGATTGGATGGCGGACAGTACATCCAGTTCCTTCACATTGTCTCCCACCCGGTCCCCTGCTGAAAGCTCAGAGTTGGCACCTGCAGCCCATGGCCATCTGTCTTTCACCTCCGCCCCTTGCAAACCAGCCAAGCAGTCTGAGCCACAAGTCATGCAGTGGTCTCTTATGCTTTTTGATGACTCTGCTGGCGGGGTTTCCGTGGGCCATCCACCTAGCCCTGCCCCAGAAGTGGAAGAGATTGAGTGCACTGATGCACAACCACTTATGTGTCAGGATGTGGACATGCGAGGGCCACCGCAGCACGTCTCTGATGATGACGAAACACAGGTGCCAACTACTGTGGCTTTCTGCAGTGTGCAGACCGACAAGGAGGGCAGGGTTGAGGAGTGGGTGGAAGATGATGTGGAGGATGATGAGGTCCTAGACCCCACATGGAATCAAGGTCATGCGAGTGACGTGTCCAGTTTGGAGGAAGAGGCGGTGGTCGCACAGAGGCACCAGCACAGCATAAGAGGGAGCAGGGTGCAAAAGCAGAGTGGCCATCCCCTAGACAGTACGCCTGCTACTGCCCACCGCACCCAGGGACCGAGCACACCAAAGCCAGCTCCAAGGAGTTCCCTGGTGTGGAAGTTCTTCAGACAATGTGCTGACGACAAGACACGAGTGGCAATCAGAGCCTGAAGCAAGGCATAAACGTTATAAACCTGAGCACAACCTGCATGACCAGGCATCTACATGCAAAGCACAAGCTGCAGTGGAGTAAGCACCTCAAAAACCAAGAAAGGTCTCAGGCTCCTCCTGCTTCCTCTTCTGCTGCTGTCTCGGCCTCTTCCTCCACCTCTGGAGTGACAGTGGCACCTGCCACCCCGCAAACAGAGGATGTGGCAGCAACGCCACCATGTCCACCACCGTCCCCAAGCATCTCCACACTGTCCCATGGAAGTGTTCAGCTGTCCATCTCCCAAACACTGGAGAGAAAGAGGTAGTACCCCCCTACCCACCCGCGGTCCCTGGCCCTGAATGCAAGCATTTCTAAATTCCTGGCCTTAGAAATGCTGTCATTCAGTCTGGTGGAGACGGAGAGTTTTAAAAACCTGATGGCGGTGGCTGTCCCACAGTACGTGATTCCCAGCCGCCATTACTTTTCCAGGTGAGCCATCCCTTCCCTGCACAACCAATTGGCAGACAAAATCAGGTGTGCACTGCGCAACGCCATCTGTGGCAAGGTCCACATAACCACTGATACGTGGACCAATAAGCACGGGCAGGGACGCTATATCTCCCTAACTGCACACTGAGCAAATGTAGTGGTAGCTGGGCCTGAGGTGGATAGTAGTTTGGTGCATGTCCTTCCGCCACCGAGGATTGCAGGGCCTCTTTACCTCCTGTTGCCTCCTCCTCCTACTCCGCTTCCTCCTCCTTTACCACCTCCTCATCCGGTCAGCGTAACACCTTCACCACCAACTTCAGCACAGCCAGGGGGAAAAGACAGCAGGCTGTTTTAAAACTCATATGTTTGGGGGGAAATAAACCACACCACGCAGGAGCTGTGGACGGGTATGCAACAACAGACCGAAGAGTGGTTGTTGCCACTGAGCCTCAAGCCCAGCCTGGTGGTGTGCGATAATAGGCGAAATCTCGTAGCAGCTCTGGGCCTAGCTGGTTTGACGCACATCACTTGCCTGGCGCATGTGCTGAATTTGGTGGTGAAGAAATTCCTGAAAAACTACCCAGACATATTAGAGCTGCTGCAGAAAGTGCGGGCCATCTGTGCGCGCTTTCGGCGTTCTCACCCTGCTGCTGCTCGCCTGTCTGCGCTGCAGCGTAACTTCGGCCTTCCCGCTCACCACCTCATATGCGACGTGCCCACAAGGTGGAACTCCACTTTGCACATGCTGGCGAGACTGTGCGAGCAGCAGCAGGCGACAGTGGAGTTTCAGCTGCAGCACGTACAGGTCAGTCGCTCTGCACCAGACTTGCCCTCCAATAGATCCTCGTTAAAGAATTTGCGCGCCTGCTGCCTTCCTTGGATAAGGTAGCCATTTCTCAGGCTCCCTCTCTGGAATCGAACCCTGATTCCCCGTTACCCAAGGTCACCATGGTAGGCGCAGAAAGTACCATCGAAAGTTTATAGGGCAGACATCCGAATGCGTCGTCTCCGTCACGGGAACGTGCGATGAGCCCGAGGTTATCTAGAGTCACCAAAGTGCCTGCGCAATGACTGCCGAGTTGCCCACATTCTAACCTGTGCTGATTACTGGGTGGCCACCCTGCTGGATCCCCGTTACAAGGACAATGTGCCATTATGCCTTGGAGGTGCTGGCTTGCCCTGCAGCCAGTGCATTGTCTGAACGTTTGTTTAGCATGGCAGGGGGCATTATCACAGACCAGCGCAGCCACCTGTCCACAGCCAATGTGGACAAGCTCACGTTTATTAAAATGAACCAGGCATGGATCCCACCAGACTTGTCTGTACCTTGTGCAGAATAGACATTTATACCGGCCTCACCCAGCCATTGTTCTACTCAAGTGCACTTATTCTTTGTTTTCTTTTTTTATATGTCCCAATAGTTTGGGGGCTACCTCAATTGTTTGCAGGGCACTTGTCCTACTCTGACCCCCATTTTACTTCCTTTTGCAGTCCTCTAGCCCTTTCCAGGACTTTTTTAGAGCCATTTTAGTGCCCAAAAGTTCGGGTCCCCATTGACTTCAATGGGATTCGGGGTCAAGTTTGGGTCAAGTTCGAGGCCGAACTCGAACTTTTTGCCGATGTTCGCCCGAACCCGAACATCCAGGTGTCCGCTCAACTCTACATATAGTATAACTTACATATAATATTCAAAACATATGATACCTATTATATACATATAATACCTATAAGTATATATATGAAATACATATAATACCTAATAAATACATATGATATTAAATACATATAATACCTATGAAATACATATAATATTAAGTATATATAATATCTATTTAATACAATTCCAAACAGTCCCAAAAGGCAATAGAAATACAAAGTAATGGAGAAGAGTAATACTCTGACCTGTCTGCTTGAACGAGCAGCAAAGAAAGAGGAAATGATTAGGTCACTATGCCTTATGTACATTCTACTCTCTTGTGATTGGTTCTTTTTTCTATGTGTTTCTTTGCTGCTGTTTGGAGTTAGTAGAGATATGCAAAATACGAAGCCTCCTGTCATGTTGTAAAATTTTAAAAAATGAATGAAAGATTTTAGTTTTGAAGCGATTCACACCAGACAGAATATTAATGAACTGAAACAGTTCTGTAAAGAGGAATGATCAAGAATTTCTCCTGACCATTGTGCACGTCTGATCTGCAACTACAGGAAACGTTTGGTTGAAGTTATTGCTGCCAAAGGAGGTTCAACCAGTTATTAAATCCAAGGGTTCACATACTTTTTCCACCTGCACTGTGAATGTTTACATGGTGTGTTCAATAAAAACATGGCAACATTTCATTCTTTGTGTGTTTTTAGTTTAAGCAGACTGTGATTGTCAATTGTTGTGACTTAGATGATGTTCAGATCACATTTTATGACCAATTTGTGCAGAAATCCATATCATTCCAAAGGGTTCACATACTTTTTCTTGCAACTGTAGCCCTGTTTATGAAAAGATTTCCTGATAATGGTTTGTACTGGCCCCGAATATATTTGTTTAATGTTATCATATCCCCAAACTAAAGAGATTTTTTTTTTTTTTTACCTTTCTTCGTAACTAAAATGCTCCATTCCTTTTATCAATTTTGTAGCTCCTCTCTGCACTTTTTCTAGTGCCATGATATCCTTCTTTAGAACAAAATTGCACAGCATATTCAAGGTGTGATCTTACCAGCGATTTATAAAAAGGCAAAATTATATTTTCATCCTGAGGATTTATGCCCCTATTTATACATTATTATTATGATATTTATAGAGCCCTGTCAAATTCCGCAGAGCTTTACAATAGGTGGACGAACAGACATGTAGTTATAACCAGACAAGTTGGACACACAGGAACAGAGGGCCCTGCTCAATGAGCTTACATGCTAGAGGGAGTGGGGTAAAATGACACAAAAAGGTAAGGATAGGGGGCGGGGCCTGGATGCTGACTGAACAGGACGCACGGTGAGGGAGCTCCTCAACCCTTAAGCCTATCTAAGCCTAAAAACGACAATCTACTCCAAAAATCTTACCCAGCAAAGACATACCATGACTCAGGAGCATGCTGGCAACGAATCGGTGTGAAAACTCGATGGCAAAATACGCCTGTGGTGAGGAGCACTCCCTGCGGCCTACTAATAGATGCCGGGCGGGAGATGCAGCCGGTCTCCTGTCCATTACTCGACTTGCAAGCAGCCTGGATCTCGCTTTCCCCACCTCTGGGCCGGTGGGGGTCATCCCGGTCACCGCTGGGCCACACGCTGGAATCCTACCGGGTCGTTGCGAACTGCCCATATGACAAACTAAATGCCGTGCAGCGCCCAATATGGCGGATGCGCCTATGATTCAAACAGCAGCGCAGCATCAGGCCGACATCACTGACTCACTTGATTACTTCGAAGCGCGACTGGATGCAGCCTTTAAAAAATTCTGGGCCAACCTAATGGAGAGGATGAAAAGAGTGCCCCCTGCAATGCCGCCACAGGTGAGCAAACGGACACTTGGCGAGAAGAGGCAAGAGGGATCCCCCAAAGGCAACTCGACCATACAAAAGGCACACCACGCTACCTTAATCCCTCCTGGGCCTAGAGCCACCCGGGGAATACCCCTGAAGCACAGACCACACATGCAAAAAGGAACAACACGCCGAAGCCAACATGGTAAAGCCCCCTGCAACCTCCCGGCTGGGAAGAATTTGGACTCAAAGAGGACCCAAGTTCGTGGCAACACGGTGCAGGCTCTGGAATAAGCCTGGGGCATGGGGAGTACCTCGCTCTCGACAAACAGCATGGCTCACCACAGTGGACATTGCTTGTATGTAAGGCGAATGCCTAGCCAGGGTATTGGCTAACTTGGCTGGAGGCCAAGTTAGGTCGACAGGCAGGGGCTCTGATGTGGGACCGTTGGCCTAGCGGCATAATGTAACATATTGTGTGTCTACTTATCACCTAGGCATACTATGTAATGGCAAAGCTTTGATCTTGAATGCTAAACATATATTATTGAGTTCTGTTCACTCGTGCACTGTACCTGTCATGTTAACAGAATAGCAGAAACTCCTTGATAAGCAACACTAATGTGTATAGATTTTATATATATGAGCATAGGTAATCTAGCACCGTAAAGCGATAGTTATTTTACGACATATGTTCATGTTTCTAGCCTGTTATAACTAATGATACGCAATTACACTAATCGGATTACCCATAGCTTGGTTATTGCACCAGTCTAGCAACACTATTGTGTAAAAGCTTTATATATATAAGCATAGCTAATCTAGCCCCGTGAAGCGATGGATATTTTACATCATATGTTAATGTTTCTAGCATGTTACTACTAATGATACGCAATTACATTACTCGGATTGCTTATAGCATCATTACAGCATCGTTCTAACTTACTTATACTTATTTATATGTGTTTAAATCCAAATGCTTAAGCCTGATTTAAAAAAAAAAAAAGTGCCTGTCATTCATGTGCCCCGCATGTCAAGCGTGGAAAGAGCCAGAGGACTGCTTTTGGGGCACCTCTCGCCAGCCTGTACAATTTATGTGCACAGCAAAAATAAAGAATACAAAAAAAAAAGGTAAGGATAGTATGAGACTAGTGACAGTTGCAGAAGAGGAATCAGTCAGGAGCTATTAACAGTTTAATTGATATGCTTTTATGAAGAAGTGGGTTTTTAACGATTTTTTGAAGGAGTGGAGACTGGGTGAGCATCTAACGGAGGAGGGAAGTGAGTTGCACAGGAATGGTGCAGCCCTCGAGAAATCTTGAAGACGAGCATCAGAAGTGGGAGTACGGACAGAAGATAGACTTAAGTCTTCAGCAGATTGTAAGAGCCTAGACGGGACATACTTGTGTATAAGGGAGGATAGATAGGTGGGAGCAGCATTATGTAGAAATTTGAAAGCAAGAACCAGAATTTTAAATTGAGCTCTATATTTTATAGAAAGCCAATGTAGGGACTGACAGAAGGGTGAGGCATGGGAGGTGCGGGCGGACAGGAAGATGAGCCTCGCCGCCGCATTCATTATGGACTGTAACGGCGCAAGTTGGGAGCACGTAAGACCACTGAGAAGCGGATTACAGTAGTCAAGGCGAGAAAGGACAGTAGAATGGACCATGGACCAGTGGAATACATGACAAACCCTTACTGGCCTTAACAACTGCAGAGAGACATTGCATATTGCTGCCTTATTTGTTGTCTATAACAATTTCCAAATCCTTCTCATGTGTTGTTATCCCTAATTCACTACCATTTAAGTGTAAGTTGCTTGTGCATTCTTGACCCCGAAGTGCATAACTATGCATTACTCTACATTAAATTTCATCTGCCATTTTAGTGCCAAGTCCCCCAATCTATCTAAATCCCTCTGCAGCAAAGCAATACCCTGCTCACATTGTATTACTTTACAAAGTTTTGTGTTATCTGCAAACAGTAAAACATGGCTTTCAATGCCTATTTCAAGATCATTTATAAATATGTTAAATAGAAGCGGTCCCTGAGAGACACCACTTACCACTTTTGTCCTGTTTGAAAATTTACCATTAATGACAACTCGTTGTACTCTACCCTTAAGCCAATGTTCTACCCAAGAACAAGAATATTAATCTAGATCAATTTATTTTAGTTTGAAGACTAACCTATTGTGAGGACATGTTCAAATCACAATCCAAGTAGATCACATCCACTGCAACACCCTGTTCTATACCTTTACTTACTTCTTCATAGAATACAATTAGGTTAGTTTGACATGACCTATGTTTCATAAAACCATACTGATTATTGCTAATAACAAAGTTCTATATAATAATTTCCTGAATATTATCGCTTAATAGCCCTTCAAATATTTTCCCAGTCACAGACGTTAAGCTCACAGGTCTATAATTTTCAGGCAAAGATTTTGAACCCTTTTTAAATATAGGAACATGCCTTCCTCCAATCCTCCGGTACAATACCTGAAACAAAAGAATCTTGAAAGATTAAATACAGAGGTTCACTTATTTCCCCACTTAGCTCCTTAAGTAATTGTGGGTGAATACCATCAGGCCCCGGAGCTTTATTTTCATGAATTTTCATTAACTGCTGTAGCACCTTGTCTAAAGTCATCTGCAAGTTTTTTGCAGCAATCATTTTCATATATCTTGCCATAGGATCCTCATTAATATATACTGAAGAAAAATTGTTATTTAAAATGTCTGCCTTTTCCTGGTCTTCATTAACTAACAGACCCATCTCTGTTTCCAGTGTACCTACACTTTAATTTTTAGTTTTTTGAAACTGATGTACTTGGAAAAAATGTTTGGGTTGGTTTTGCATTCTTTGGCTATCAATTTCTCATTTTCTAGTTTAGCCACTTTAATTGCCTTTTTGCAAGCATTATTGGCTTCCTTATACCTTATATAGGATGCCTCTGATTTGTACGATTTAAATGCTTTAAATGCCCTCTTCTTATTTTTAATCTCTTGTTTTACTTCTTTACTAAGCCACATTGGTTTCAATGTATTTCTTTTATATTTATTACCCAATGATACATATTGAGAAATGTATCTTTCTAATATTTGTTTGAAGAGTTTCCATTTATTCTAAGGGTGTTTTTTCACTAAGGAGTTTATGCCAGTCAATATGTCATAGAGCTGCCCTAAATCTTATTGAAATTGGCTTTTTTTAAATTATACATTTTAGTATACCTCACGTGCTTTTGCTTTTTTGAGATTATTAAAAAAATTACCATATTGTGATCGCTATTTCCCAAATGCTCCCCTACTTTAATGTTAGTCAAAAGATCAACATTGTTTGTTATAACCAGATCCAGACAAGCATCCTTTATATCTGTATATGTGTCAGTAGTTGTATCTGTGTATCTGTATGTGTGTATGTGTGTCAGTGTGTGAATGTATGCCTATGTATCTGTGTGTGTCATTGTTTGTATCTGTGTGTCCATGCATCTGTATGTGCGCCAGTGTATATATCTGTGTGTCTGTGTATCTGCATGTTTGGCAGTGTTTGTATCTGTGCGTCTGTGCATCTGCATGTGTGGCAGTATTGTATCTGTGTGTCTGTTTATCTGTGTGTGTGTCATGGTTTGTGTCTGTGCATCTGCATGGCTGTCAATGTTTGTATATGTGTGTTTGTGTTGGTGTGTGTATGTGTGTATCTTTATGTGTATCAGTGTGTGTATCTGTTATCGGTATGTGTTTGTTTATGTGTGTCTGTGCATTTCTATGTGTGTAAGTGTTTGTATCTGTGTCTGTGTATCTGCATGTGTTTAAGTGGTGTGTATATGTGTGTGGTGTGTGTGTCAGTGTATGTGTATATGTGCTTACATCTCAGCATTAAAATGCTAACAATTCAAACAAACACACCTCTGCATTAAAACACCAATACTATATATAAATACACCTCTTTATCATAAATGAACACTACACTCAAAAGCACGCTTGGATTTATCCCTACATTCACTCACACACACACTCCATACAAAAACACACTTACATTTAAATACACAAGCACTGCTCAGTGCTATATTAAACCCTGCAAGGATGTGCAAATGGTAGATCCCAAGATGGCTAAGCATCGTGCAAGTTGTATGACAGATGAGGATCTACTTTCTGTCCACCCTTGTGATAGGTGGGGCCCAAAAAAGTTCTTGCACCAGGGCCCTCTCTATGTTAGTTATGCCACTTGTTCTATGGTCCAGTTCTGATGCTCTCCGTTGAATGTGCTTTCAGTGATGGACAGAGGTCAACATGCTGCGTAGACTGGTTAAACTGTGATGCACTGTGTGTTCTGACACCTTTCTGTTATGGCCAGCATTACATTTTTCAGCAATTTGAGCTACAGTAGCTCTTCTTTGGGACTGGACCAGATATGCCAACAAGGAACCTTGGGTGCCCATGATGCTGGTTCACCAGTTGTCCTTCTTCCTGTCTCCAGATCTTCGACAGGTAAATGATGCACACCATATGCAGCAAACTGATATGCACTGTGTGTTCTGACACTTTTTTTTATCATGGCCAGGATTGATTTCTTTTTAGAAATTTTAGCTACAGTAGCTTTTCTGTGTGATTATATCAGATGAGCTAGCCTTCACATCCTACTGCCATCTCTTTTTTAGGTAAACAGTGCACACGCACCTACACCCGGCCATCCACCAGATCTAAAAGCAAACATAATTAACCAGAAGTAGCAACCTTCTTCCATTGCTCAACAGTCCAGTTCTGATGCTTACATCCCCATTGAAGGCACTTTCAGCAGTGGACAGGGGTCATCACAGGCAATATGACTGACTAGTCTGTGGCTACGCAATCCCATACGCAGCAAACTAAGATGCACTGTGTTCTGACTCCTTTCTATTAAGGTCGGCATTACGTTTTTTAAGCAATTTGAGATACAAAAAAACCCCCAAAACCTTAAATTTTCATAGAAATATAGGTTTGTTTTGAAAAGTACAGTATATAAACCCCAGCATCCCCCTTTACTAAATCCCAGTCCCCCTCTCAGTACTAAATGCCAGTCCCCCCTCTATACTAATTCCCAGTGCCCCCCCTAAACTAATTCCCAGTCCCCCTCTCTATACTAATTCCCAGTCCCCCCCTCTAAACTAATTCCCAGTCCCCATCTCTATACTAATTCCCAGTCCCCTCTCTATACTAATTCCCAGTCCCCCTCTATACTAAATTCCAGTCCCCCCTCTACCAAATCCCAGCACCCCCCTCTACTAAACTCTGGTCCTTGTTTAAAAAAAAACCCCCAAAAAAACCAATATTAGCCAACAAGCAGTATCCACTCACATTGTCGCTGCCAGTATGCAACTCTGGAGTCCAGACTCCGTCCGCACCCTGTGCCAAAGCGCATCCTCCCGCTACTCCTAGAAAACCTGTGAAGGTGGAGCATGTTGATGTCATGTCGAAATGTGATGTGGCTTTGCATGCCTCCATGCACCTCCAGGTCCTCCACTGTCCAGCTGCTGCCATTGCAACACTGGCCAACACACACTGACTGACACACACACACACATACACTCACTGACAGACACACTCACTCTCTGACAGACAGACACACACTCTCTGACTGACAGAGATACACACACTCTCTGACAGACAAACACACACTCTCTGACAGACAGGCACACACACACTGACACACACGCTGACAGACATGCATTCAGTGACAGATACACACACTGACAGACACACACACACTGACAGACACACACACACACACACACACACACATTTCCACATTCTTGCACACACTTACATAATTTTCTTTATTGCTCCCTACCTTTGGGAGCTGGTGTGGGGTTTCTCCCTGGGGTCCAATGGGGATCTTCTCTTGGGAGCTAAGTCTTCCTGCTCCTCACTGCTCCCTCGCACGCAGTTTAGTGATGCCGCGTGCCTTTTTGCTTGCCCATTTTTTCACCTTTCCACAATTTAAATTTAAGGACTGACTGTTCACTTGTTAAGTGAATATACTATATATCACTCTTTGACATGTGCTATTGTAATAATATAATCAATGTTATTCACTTAAATATTAAGCAGCTTGACAAAGACCTCTTAGCAAGTCGAAACATTACTGTGCCTTTTTTGAGCCAATAAACCTACCTGTGGCTTGAACACTGTGAGTGCCTAGAGATTTTTTTTCTTGTTTAATAATGACTTTCCTGTCTAGCCACAACTCACCTGACACCACTCACTTTCAGTCCATGTGGCTGTACATACTCAGGCATAGCTCATCTGGCACCACTCAGCCTGAGAGAAATGACTCAAACGCAAGACATCCGTCTGTATTATGAGTTTGCTTTTTACCAAATGATCATCAATTACATCACTCATTACATCACACATGACATCGTTGGTGACATCAGATATGCCTGTTTGATAAACTTTTGTAAAATATGTTTTCTTTGATCTGTAGGATGAAGTCAGAAGGACTAGTGACTCTATTGATGATGTAATAGGAGATGCCACCAAATATATTTGTGATGTAATCAGTGATGTCATTGATGGTGTCAGGTTAAACAGCCATGGTGGGAACTCCATGATGAGAATGAACAGATACATTCAGAATTTCTTTGCTTTTTTATTATTATTATGATTTATAAAACGCTGACAATTTCTGCAGTGCTGTACAATAGATGGATTAACAAACAAGTAGATGCAACAAGACAATACAGAACATAAGGTGCTGAGGGCCCTGCTCAAACGAGCTTACATTCTAAAGGGATTGGGGTAAAATGACACAAGAGGTAAGGGAAGAGGACACTTCAATCATACTCCAGGCACCAACACGACTTAATAGATGCATTAATAGATTTTGGCCTCTTATCCATACTGTTTTCTTCATAATCAAAACTATAGCTGCATCCCTGATCCAAAACCTCAGCCTGAAAGGAGAGTGGCTGTAACAATCAAAGAACAATTTAAGTCAAGGAACCCATCTCTGAACATGCTACTAACTGTGATACCTAGCAATATGGCCCTTTTTTGATGTGAACATGATGACTTAAGGATTTGCTTAGTTTTCAACTGCAGTTTGACCGAATCTGTGCCAATAGGGTGACTGGTTGAATTCCCAAACTCCGAGAAGAAACACAGTCAAATTAGTTCATTTTGATACATGATTCTGAATTCCGCCCATTGCGTTAAAAAAATAAAATAAAAAAAAAAGGTGATTGATGGGGAAAAAAAGAAAATTGATGGCTAGAGGACAATCATTAAATATTGATTTTATATTGAGAATATTGAGAAGTAATCAACTGAGGGAAAAGAGTGGAACAGTAAAAAAAACTAAATTACCAAAAATTTTATATATTGACTACTGCTTATGTTTTTCCCCTCTGTTGGTTACTTTTTCCCACTTGGTCTGTGAACCAAATGGCAGGAAATCCTCCTATCAGTGTACTGCAAAATATATACACAATATTTATATTAATTTGCAGTACACTGATCGGCCAATTTTTTCGCCATGTTGGTTCATCAGACTAGTTTCCCAAATCTATTTTTCAGTACCGAGATTCTGCCAAGCAGAATCGAGATATGGCTGAAATTCAGGCTGAAATTCAGCCACTCCAGATTTTTTTTTTTCTGAAAAATGGTTCAGCCAAACCGACTTTTCTCTCCATGCACAAGTCTATACTACGTAATCAATTCATGCAACTGTCAAACTACGTTTTTTTTGTTCTGAAACTGTAAGTCATCAACAACTGTGTTATATTTTATTACAATTATATAATTAGTTTAAATTAAAAAAAGACCAGTGATACTTTTAAGATATTTAAAAAAATATTATATACATTTAGTACTCTATTTCACAAAGTTTGAAAATCAAAATATTGCTGTTTCCAAGTACAACTGGACAAAAACTGTACAACAACTGTGCAAATGTTCATTGCTTTTCTTTAAAGTTGAAATAGATTTCCAGAGCATATTGATTTATAATAGTCAGACTGCTTGGTAAAGGAACACTCCAAGCACCATAGCCACTTTCCTATGCTGCAGTTGTTTTGGTGCCAGGAGAGCCCTGGCACCCCACCCCATGTGAGTAGTGAAACTGTTTATCATAGCTCTCATAATTGAGCTAAACCTGGAGGTGCAGGGCTTAGCTCATTGGCTGAGACTGATCAGCTGATGCTTTCAGCCAATGAGCTGAGCCCTGCACTGCAGATCTTAGTTGAGAAGAGATAATGGAATCCTACACAGGAGCTTTCAGTTTTTCTTCCATCAAAAAGGAGGTGTTCAGTAGTGCTCAAACAGATATGGGTTTGGCCCCTTACATTGGGACGCTCAAGGGCACTTGGAGTGCTCCTCTAAAGACAAGCAGCATGACAAGCAATTGTGAATTACTAGGGATTCCAAACACTGAACTGAACATTGTAAAATGTTGCCAAGGTGCTGGTTTGGAAAGATTCTCAAATTCAGTTATAATTATTTTGTAATTCGATTTTCAGGTCATTGCAATCTGCTGCAAATAAACCCAAAATTTAAAAATTTAATGATAAAAATGCCAAAATGAAAACATAGTTGACATTTGGCCTAAGTTTGGAATTCACTCTGAATTATTGATAATTACACACAAACATACTCATACACGGTAAAAGATAAAATCACTCAGAGATTGTCTAAATAATAAACACCACTGTCCTTTAATGCAGTGGTTCCCAAACCGGTCCTCAAGTCAATCCTACCAGTCCAGGATTTAGACACAATTGGATAATCCCTAAATACTGGACTGGCAAGGGTGTCTTGAGGACTGGTTTAGTAACCACTGCTTTAATTTGAATCAATTAAAAAAATTACCAACATCTTGTCCTCTGCATGGGCTTTTTTCCAAGCTCAAACAATAACTTGAGCAGTGCAAATATTCATAGGGTACCATGCAAAAGTAAAACTCACCAGTGAAGATTCCAAACATCTTCAACAACAAGTCCAGTGCATGTCCAGTTATGACATGGACAAATTGCCTGTAACTATAGAAACCTCATAATGAAAAACCTAATTGTTACGGTTCTAACTAGAATCCTACAATATTGGAATTGGTCACAAGTAACATACACTAGATCAGTGGTTCCCGACCCAGTCCTCAAGTACCCCCTAACAATACAGGATTTAGGGATTACCCAGTTGTGTCTAAGGTGTTTTAAGAAAAAAACAAACCAAAAAAAAAAAAAGAAAAAACCCACAGTTTAGACACAGCAGAGTATGCCTAAATCCTGGACCGGTAGGAGGTACTTGAGTACTGGGTTGGAAATGTCTGCACTAGAGTTATAATGTAAAACTTACTGTGTCTAGGCACTACATGCATCATATCATCATATTAGGAGGGATATTTATCAAGAAAAAGAAGGTGCTATTCTAAGATAAAGGAATCACCATGCAAACCAAATAGAATGTCTCTCGACATTTAGATCTATGTCTTTAGAACTATTGGCTATGTTCCAATATTGGTTTTGGTTACATTCCAATCAATACGTTTTTTCAGCAGTTTATTGGCTTCTGATAAGACTTCTATAGGTTCGGATAGATATAATTCACATCTTTAAAAGCTCATTGGAATCTGAAGCCTATATTATATATTGAAAATATAGACTTTGTGGATTTAATGCTATTGCTGTCTGGTCACTAATAACATACAGGGGAATGCCATGTCTCCCTTTCTGTCACAGCACTGTTATTGGCCTACCACTCGGCGCATAATAACGGAGATTGCATATGGGAAAGCCTTTATAAGGACTTTTCTCTCCATGCAAGCTCAGTCTGTCTGGAGCTCACACTGGGCTACTTGAAATTTAAACTTTATGAGTAGTATTTTGTTTTTGTGACCCCGTCCTTTTTGAATTTTAGCAGTTGCAACAGGACTTAACGTTTTTTTAAGAGTGTTTTTTTTTTACAGGAATTTAGTTTATTGCCCCCCCTTACTATTAGTATGGTAAGGGGCTAGGTAGTATATTTTTATTTGAGGGGGCGGCTAGGGGGTTGTGGACCCCTGGCTACATGTGGGGGCCATGGACACAATTTTGGAGCATTAGACACTAACATGTCCACACTCTTATATATTTAATTATAGCAACCACAAGCCGCTGACGGCTGGGGGGGACATCAAATTTCCCTTGTTTATTAATTAATTGGGGCTTGTGGGGGCACTAAGATGAAAACTCCAATGTACTTTTTAATGTAATAGCCTCCACTGAATAGCCAGGGGTGGGGTCACTGAATATCGACATCAATCAGTCCACTACCCATTCTTTAATTTAAAACTCCCATCCAATGCCCAGAGGGGAGGACTGGTACCAGGTACCCCCTATATGTTACTTGTGACTGGAATGCAAAAGCTCACAAAAACAGTCACTAGTAGTCTTATTAATGGACACGTTGCACTAGCAGCATGACTGGCAGTGCCATGGGGAGGTGTAAAACATCCATTCTACTAATGTGGGTGTCTTGACCGCCAGACTCTTTTAAATTATTTCTTTTCTAATGACCAACAGGGTTAGCATATTTTTTTTTTCCAACAGCAAACCCATTTATCGAGTTTGGCTGCTAGAATTTGGTTTGGCCTTAAATCCAGTTGAAATTCAATAAAAATATTGACTGATTCCAGTTAATCATTTTCTAGATCTAGAGATCGTTTTATATTTTTTTAATTGAAAAATGTTATTGATAGGTAACAAAAATCCCCTTTTTATAAATATCACTTCTTTCTGGCAAGTAGCCTTTTACTACAAGTTATCTACAAGGTACCTACAGAAACAGGGAATTTGTGTCATTATTAAGATTTCTAGTTCAAAAAACACGCTGAATTTGCTTCCACATGTGTTTGGAATTTACACTAGTGAGTTTTATTATCACTTGCATTGTACCCTATAATTATTTGCCCTGTTAATTTTATTATTTTATCTTGAAAAAGAAACAAGCGAGGGGGGTAAAACATTGATCATTATGTAAGTAGTATTTCATATTACAACTTAGATTGGAGTTTTCTGTTTGAGTACATTCATCCTTTACAGTGTATATCTTTATCAAACATGTGAAGAGCACCCAGACCATTTGGAAATGTGGGTAGCATGCCAGACTTCACATATTGTTGTTCATAATCTGTTAATACATACCCACAACATCGGCATCCAATAACGTGGCACGCCGATAGACGGTGTAGAAGGGTGAAAAAAAAATCAATCAATATTTCCAATAATTCATTTTTGCATTATGGTAGGAGTTATATTTCTGGAATTAAAGAGCCACCACGATTAGAATATTTATTTGCATCAGATGTTTATGATTGCATTTTTATGTCATCTGCATTTCTGTATTTGAGCACGACAATTCAGAGGCACATATTGAAGTAATAGTAGTATCTGGATTGAAAGGGCTGTGTCCGTATGTCTTCTGTATTGCTTGCAAGTTATCTTTCTCATTTAATACGTGGCTAATGAAGCTGCATGAATGTGTAACTGGGTAGTATTGATGAGTATTTTCTACAGAGCAGATTTCAATCGAATGTCTCCTGGGATCATCCTTCCATGAGGTTTTTGTAAAGATCTCCTGAGCATCCATGCTGTAAAATTTTTTAATGTCCTTTAAGATAACATTATTGCTGTTTCCTAGTTTTAGTTTTTGGCTTAGCGAATATGCGGTAGAATATACACTCAGCGCCTTGACTGCTTTTGAGTTAAAATGATGTTTACAAAACACTGTGTTTAATAAATCTTGTTTTTTTTGCTCTTGCGATATTTCCCCAAATGGATTAAGGCTACCTTGGGAAGTATTTGGGTATCTAAACATTTTGCACATATCATGAAAATGTTCCACGTAGGTGCTTGTTTGTTCCAAGTTACACAATGTTTTTTTAGGTTGACTTTTCTTAAACACCGATGCTACGTCTGCAGAGGATAACGGACATAGTGATGTATTTTCCGTCATTCCACTTGGAAAATTTTCCTTGCGGTTCAAAAATATTTCCAGAGAGTCATTCTGGTTTTCATCCTGCAAACATAAATGTTTTAATATATATGTGAGTAAGTGGATGGATATTATTAAAACATGTTATACATAATGATACAATGAATAGCAATTATTACTATTTATTTGGCACCACTAAATGAGTTTATGGCTTAGTGGTAAAGAGCAATATAGCCAGAGTCTGCATCTAATTACCATATAAATCTTCAAGAAATGTGTGAGATAGCGGTTTGTTCTAATTAGAAATGTCTAAGTGAAAACTAGCATGGCAACTCCAGAATATGTTTTCTGGGACACATATCATATATACATATTGATGGGCAGCACCTGAAAAGGGTAGCCCTGTAGTATGTCTAATTCAGAACAAGCAATTGGGCAATGAAGAATCCTGCAATTAGGCAGTAGGCAATAATGCAGAATAAACATAATACACACTGCAGGGCAACCTTTTTCATGCGTTTTCATAAATTTGAGAAACTTATATGTGTCCCTGTAAACATAGAGGATCTGGTTAAATGAGAGTTGTGGAACTGAACGTTTTAATTTTACTAGTAGCACTCTTAGACTTTACACTTAGTCTCACTAGGAATAGCATTTCTACCAGTAAACTGACTTTTCCGGAGTCTGTGAAACAGCGTATAATTTTGTGAATAACAAATGGTATGATGATTTCTATGGGTTCTTGTTGAGCAATTGTTCACAGGCCGGAATCATAGTTACGTAGTTGCATAGGGCTAAAAAGAGACATGCGTCCATCAAGTTCAGCCTTTTACAAATCTGTTTTTGCTATTGATCCAAAAGAAGTGAAGTTTGAAGCGCTTTCCAATTTGCAACAAACTAGGAAAAAATTCCTCTCGATCATGGATCATGAAGCTGTTACACCACAAGTGAGAGTGAATAATGTGCATTAAAAACATTAATTGGGCGTTCTTTCTTGTTCTTAATACCCATTATTCACCCTCACATTTAGGCACTTTATTTTGTCCTTACAACATTGTTTGCCATATCATGGATTGGAAAGAGTAGCTCAATCCAGCTTGGATTGGGTTTATGACCCTGGGGATATATATTCATCAATTATATTGTTATCTCCCTCTTTCTCTCAATTCTCCTTTGACTCTTTGGATTACAACAAGAGCTTTTCTGATTGGATCTACTAATTAGATCTATGTATATATGCGATTGGATATTGACAGTGAGGCTGTCTCATATTCTGCAACATATGTTAAAAGTATACAAAAGGATGTGATTATGAGACACTTAGTATCCACTTGGTCCATAAGGAAATGGTTTCGCGGATACTGGAAAATTGCTCCTTCCGTGAAATGTTATGGAGTAATAAAGCTATAGTGGTCCTTTACTAATTCAAGTATTTGTCACATGGGCTATAATTTTATATTTTGTCTTTTGGATCTGAATTTTTGGCAAAAATAGTCCAGTTTTCTCCTTAAAGGAGGGACAACCAATACCCCATCTTTTTTTTTTCCATTCTTTATTTTTGACTGACAGGGTGGTACATCAAATCGTAGTTTACCCAAATCCAACAAAGCCATTTTAGTACAATGACATAACCTTATAGTCAAAATCTTACAACATTTTCAGTAATAGTCAGCTGCAAGTAGAAAAATAAAGGCCTTTAAGTATTGAAGAGAAGCCGAGACACGTTAGGCCTTGTAGTATCAACTCGGTCAGGTTTAGTCAGTATAAAAAGATATTTGAAGAGAGAGTCTCCAACCATTGCGTCCATAGACGTCACTTTGTTAGGAGAGATAGCCCTCATCATACAGGCTGTATTCCTGTTTGTGTCGCAGGATTATCGATATGACCAAAATAATAAGCGGTACATCTATAAATGTCGCATGGCTTGCATCTGTGGCAATGACTATGTAAACATCGTTTAGGGCCCTACCGAGTGCATTATTGTCTAATTTTGTTTGGTCATGTCCTACAAGTGGTGTTTCTATATGGTCCCTATATTATCAGAAAGTGTCATTATTTCCATTGATGGAAAAAGGTGAAGTAGCACGGTAACCTGGTTGTGGTTTTTGTCACTGACATCTGAACTCAGACCTGACATTAGCTAGTGCACTGACAGAGAGGCTCACACCACTCACCCCTGAATTGTTCCCCACACCCTTGTGGTTAAGTCATGCATCTTTTATTTTGGCTATTACTGCTGCCATAGAGGGAGTGTGTGGCTTCAGCCAAGCTTGTGCCATCATTCTCCTTGCAGCAAGGGTAATTTTATGTACCAACTTTTGTTCGTGTCTGCTCCACCCCTCCACAGACCTGTTTGGGAGGTGTACTCATGGGTTTAAGTCTGGAGCTCTTTGAAAAATCTGGGTTATTAGGTCTCTGATGGCCTTCCAGAACACCTGTATCTAGAGACAATACCACCACATGTGCAGGTACGTGCCTCGTGACCCGCAAGCCCTCCAAAATGTGTCAGTTGGCGACTTTTGCATTCAACAGAGTTTAACAGGGGTTGTGCACTATCTGAACATCGTTCATATGTTTCTAAAGTTGTGGGCCATGACACCCGGGGGGTAGGCCCTGTTATGGAGAAAGGGCGTCATTGGTGAAGACGCAAGCCCATATTTTCGTGCTGTGGCATCCTAAATTCTAATCGAATTCAGAAACGCTGGGCAGGTTGCCCTCAGCATTATTCTATGTTCCTTAGGCACCTAGATGAGGAATAGAGGGAGATTAGCTTCATTGAGCAAGGATTCGAAATCCATCCTTACCTCCAGTGGTGCATGCCACATCGCAGTTTGAGCCAGTTGTGCTGCTAAATAATAGAAGTGTAGATGTGGCAGGCCCAGTCCTCAGTTTAGGGCAGTATAGAGTGTTTTGGGAGACTGTGCCATATAAAAGAACCAATGGCTTTTTGCAATAGCATAAGGTCTGCTTTGGTGATGGGGAGTGGTAAAGTCTGAAACAGAAATAAGATGTGTGGTAATACGTTCATCTTAACCGAGTGGAGTCTACCTATCCAAGAGATAGGTTTGTCCATCCACATTTCCATTGCTCTAATCAGCTTTTTCATAAGCGGGGCATAGTTAGCTTTGTATAACTTTGATGGGTCTGCTGTCAGGTAGATCCCGAAGTATTTGAGAGATTTGTGGGCTATTTGAATATCATGGGTGCTCTGAATGGATGCAGTGTCCACCACTGACAGTCCGATCGGGAGTGTGCTAGACTTGTCCATGTAAGCCTTATACTCTGATATCGAGCCGTATTGTGCCAGGACATCCCTTAAGGCAGTCATTGTGTCTCTTGGGTTAGTTATAGTCAGCAATGTGTCGTCCGCATAAACTGACACTAAGAATTCCTGACCCCCTACTTTTACCCGCTGAATGTGTGGGTGGTTCCGAATGGCCTGTAAGAGGGGTTCAAGTGACAGAGCGAAGAGCAGAGGTGAGAGCGGGCATCCCAGTTACTCGTTACTAAGTCCGAATGGGGACATGGGGGCTCCCGTGATATTTATTTGGGCTGAGACGTTGTGATACATTGCTTTAATAGTAGTTACGTATGAGTCAGGGAATCCCAGGTAAGATAGGAGGTTAAAAAGGAAAACCCTATCAAACGCTTTTTCTGCGTCAAGAGACACTAACAAGGTGTTGGTGGCGGCTTGTCTCCATA